TTTTTTGTGGATTTAAATATATATTCATGTTAAAAATATTTTTCTTTTTAAATTATATAATTTAATACTATTAACAGTATTATATATTTGCAAAATTTGGCGGCACACTTTTGAAATTTGACGGCACACAAAAGTGCCGCGGCACAGTGGTTGAGAATCACTGCCCTAGACAGTAGGACATATACAGCGTGTCGTTACCACCGCGACAATAAATGAAGACACATATAGAGGATAACTTTTAAAAATTGTATTAAACATTTACATTCTTTAAACATCAATATTTACCGAGTTATTAAATTTTCCAAAACAAACAATTTCAGAACATCCTTACGTATAAAACTGTAACGTAAAGTTCATTTGTAAAGGTCACAAAGCATATGAATGGGTTGAATGAATTTAAAAGAGACAAAATATACTGTTAAAAGGAGAGGCTTGTAATGCGACGCTGTGGCGCGAGTTGTATAGGATGTTACAAATTTTGTTTCTTTTTTACTTAATTAGTTTGTTTGAAAAATATATTTTTTTTAATTATGGATTTTGTTTAACGTTAATATTTTTTTATGATTATTGGCAAGTAGCGTTAGACGTGTGTTCATTTATTGTCGCGATGGTAACGACACGCTGTATAGGCTGATACTTACACGACTGATGTAATTTAAAAAAATATTTGATTTGGTATAGCGTAGGATAAAAATTCCCGTCGAAAGATGTCGCAGTCCTGGAACCTACACCCAAAAAGATTGGACGTGTTTTCACTTTATCCTAAACTAGCTGTTGCCCGCGACTACATCCGCGTGAAATAGTGTGAAAGTGAAAAATTCAGACAGATACACACAGATATCTATACATATAATAAAAATGTAACCTGTCTTTGTCTGTACATGGAAGACATTTGAGAAAACTATTATTAAAGGTCCCCCTTTATCAACGCAATGGGACCAAATCAAACAATGGTTGTAAAAACTGTTGTCTGTGTATCTGTGCTTTTGTGCGCACTAATCTCAGAAACGGCTTAACCGATGTGATAGCAACTTTGACTAATGCATTGTAGTACCTTACTTAACTTTTAGTGTCAGTTTTATTCAAATCGGTTCATAAATAAAAAAGTTATATCAACTTACGAAAAAGGAATGGCTACAGCTGAATTGGATGAAACTATAGTTAACTATAATTTTATTATGGTCTGTAAAATGATGATGATTGTTAGACAACTGCGCCATGGTCGGGTATTCGCGAAATAAACACAATTTTGTCTGAGTCACTCCCAGTGACGATCTCAACTTGAATTATGTGCCTTTGTAGAAAAGTTACGTTTACAGTAGTTTAAAAGTCAAGTTACGTTACGTGGGCATAATGTGTTCACATAACCAAGAATTATCCTGATATCATCAGGAAAATTCTTGGTTATGTGAACACTTGAAAGTTCTCCAAACACTGAACTTATCAGTTTGTTTTCGGAGAAAACGACTGTACGGAAAACACATCTCCCCTTTTTTCTCTGTAAGGATATCCTTTCTTGGTGTTTCAGAAACCGTGCGTTAGATGGCACTTGGTGACATTGACAGAGGACGTCGGTTGAGAGTTACCTGTAAATAGACTCTGTTTATTTTCAGGGTATATAATATCTTTTTTAAACAAACCACCATAATTTGTTTAAATGTGAACTCCATTTAAACAAATTATGGTCTTTGTTTAAATGGTGTTCATAATTGAATAAAAGAAGTAGGCTTTAGTTAACTAGCATTACGAATATCCATACTAATATTATAAATGCTAAAGTAACTCTGTCTGTCTGTCTCGCTTTCACGCCAAAACTACAGAACCGATTTAAATGAAATTTAGTACACAGATAGCTTAGAGCCTGAGAAAGCCCATAGGCTATTTTTGATTGGAAAAAGGGTTGTTAAGGGTTTTTAAAGGGGATAGATATTTATTTAAGGGCTTCAACGCAAGCGCAGCCGCGGGCGAAAAGCTAGTATTAAATATAAACAAAAATATTTACAATATCAAGCATGAACTAAATTAATGTTATATAACAATCCTAGTCCATTCAGCATGGTACCAATAATTAATTCAATCTGTATTTTCTTGCCGCTAAATAGTTAGGTATGCTACACCATTGAGCGAGAAAAGAACCAACCTTCCTGTCCTGTCACTAGCTGAAGCGATGACCATGAATTTACTAAAAATTTAAATACCCTTATTTTAGTAATTAAACTGACTTTCATTACTAAAATAAGTAAACTAAAAGGCAAGAGCATTAAGAAGTACCTTTAGATAATGAGCACGCCATGCAACTATATCATTTATTTCAATTAAGAATTTTCTGTTGCTTTTTGCCCTTTTTAATTGGAAACCAATAGCTTTGAAATGCTGGCTGCCGATCTCTCTAGTCTATATAAATGAGAGAGAAGGTGGCCTAAGTATTAATCGGCACCCATTTGCTTTACCCGCAGTGTTACCTTATAACAAAGTGGGCCCCGGTTAGTTACTCACTATCCAGACGAAACGCAGAAGCTGTCCGCAGAAGTATAATGCTTCCACGACATGAGATTCTACTACGGTCGTGGTACTTTACGCTCTACCACAGTTAAAACTTATAAACTGTCGTTATTCTTTTTCTATCGTATAAAATTCACGGATCTTTCGTCGCTAAATTCAAATATCAAAATTATTCAATATTTCTTTTTCACTTGTTTTCCGTTCTACCCCAGTGTAACTATTTTACTTAAAGAGGCTTCAGTCAACCTGCCTTTATTTACGATTCTTACTGTATGTAAAGATACATCAGCAATTTGTATTAAATTAAGATATGTATGTTTTCTAGTATTCAAGCAGTGTTTCGGAATACGCACCCTCGTTATGTGGTAACACTCACATGTTACAGCGCTGACCATGGTGGGATCTTGTACTATAATTATTTTTTCTACTAAAATTTCATGCTACTTAAACTATCCATATCTATTGAAAACATCTTTAACCTTTAAACTGTGTGTATAACACCACTCAATCATTTTTGGCGCGGTATAATTTTATTTCATATTAAAATTGAAAGCAGACCACAAGCCATTAGCGTCCCAGCGAGTTTAATTCATGATTCACAAGATGGCGTTACTACTTGCATCTAATTAGGTATGCGCAATAAAAAGGTATATCGATATTTATCGTATCGACATTTTTAAAATTATCGATAATTATGGAGTGAAAAATATCGATTTAAGTAATTTTTTGCATGATTATTCATACATATTTCCAACCCATTCAAAATTCGTAAAAAATAATAGACAGGAAGAAAACAGTTGATTTTTTTAAAGTGATTGATGTGCGAGGAGCATAGAAAGAGTTTCTATGAGTCTAAAATAAATATCGAATATCAATACCTATATCGCGATAAAATATATCGACGATTTTTAAATTGTTTATAGTGCTAAGCTCTGCACTTTAAGATTGAACATTAAAGCTTCAGGCCGTGAATGCCGAAGACTTGGGTTCGATTCCCACAGCGGCGACAATCTTTTCGTACTTTTTCTACATATTTTAATATATCCAAGAAGTATATCGATAATTTTATGATATCGATATTTTTGCCTATGTCCGATTACTCCTATTTTCTCCCCCATGTGCCAAAATATTCTTACGCCCTGTTTCTGAAACACTAATCATCGTAGATGTTAACTAATCAGCTGTCAAATGGCTTTTCAAATGTCATTTGAGTTGTCAAAAGAAGGTTAAACTCTTTGAATTGATAATTCTGATTATTAAGAAGATCATTATGATAAATTCGGAGAGTTTAACTATCCTTTTAGCAACTTAATAACATTTGACAGCTGATTCGTTAACTTCTACGATGATCGGTGTTTCAGAAAGCGGGCGAAAGCGTCCGATTTCCACTACGCAATTAACTAATCATGGCTATGTAGCCAAGCTACATTATTTTAAAATTTTATTAGAATGCGTTTAGTTATTGCGTGAAAGAGTAACAAACATCTATCCATGCATAAAACTTACGCGTTTATAATATTAGTAAGGATTCCTCATAATTCACTGCGGTTAGGGCCACGCAAGTGTTCGCAGTTGCACGAATGGGCAGCTCCCTCCGGATTTGTACAACGACCTCACAGAAGACCTTCGTGAAGTAGAAGTGTTACACTTCTGCATTTCGTCTTATGAGTGAGGTAGCCGGGGATCGCTTTATTGAAAGGTGACAACGCATCTGCAATCGTACGGGTATTGCAAATGTCCATGGGCGGCGGTTATCACTTAACATCGTGTGAACCGCCAGCTCGTTTGACACTTTGTCACATAAAAAAAAAAAAAACAGGATTCAAGGATGGGTTAAGGGTAAACGAAAGAAAACAAACCCGCGCGGTGGTCTAATGCGTCTGAGCTCATCTCTGGCACATTAGACTACTTGCGGTTTTTATTTATTAGGTATACACTTTATTTCAAAGTTGACAGAATAATACATCGAATATTACATTGAAATCGTACTAGGGACAAAGTCCACCGAGAAGCTCAATAATACGCGATACATATAAGAACAATTCTATCTAATTGAATATTTTTAACTTACCACTTATATATATTGACAATAATTAATTAATCGAAAAAGAAAAACCCACAATAAGTGGATTTTTATTAATACGAATACAGAGAAAAATTAGAAACAACAGCTATACTATAAAACTCATATTTTTTCCCTTAATATTAATAACTACTCTTATATAAACATAGTCGGATAAATTTATAATATACTTAATTCATTAATTAATTACGTTCGATTTGTATAATAGCACTAAATGTTAACTCGTTATGAGCAGGTGATAAATATGATGAAGATTATTACTAATTTTGAATGGTTTTGTTACGCGGGACACTTCTCGATGTGATCACTCCGTTGTTGGTGCTTACATTGTGACGTTCCCGCGCCTATACGGGGTACGTGGCTGACTCTTATTGACCGTTGAACATGTTGCAGCTGAGCCGGATAAAGGATCGAAATGCGAAGACAAACCTTCCAACCTCCCCACTATGGCGCGTCCCGTTCGCTCATCCCCGAAGACGTTAGACTATACCCAGAAGAGTCAATTACGAACGACCTACGCGCAACTAAGCCGCGAGCGCTAAACTTAACGTACGGGGGCGTCCACTGGTCGGCCAGTGGCGGCCAACTAGCGGTGGACACGCTGAACGCTCAGCGGCGACCCTACGCTAACCTCCTTACTTTAACTTACTTTATTTAATGGCAGTGGTGGTTTGCAGTTGTAGGGAGGGACAATTTAGTCGACCGTTACCCCAAAAATTGACGAAATCAAAAACATACGCCAAATCAAGAGCTAACCTAAGTCCTAATCTAAGTCGCCTCGCGCGATTACGCTAAGTGTATGGCGTCGCACGCGTCGGTGTTACTACCGCGTGGAGCTCCTTAAGACTACGCCGTACTGGCTTCCAATAATATAACGTTAAACATTGAAATATATAAAAACTATAAGGACCCGTGTGCACTATACGGCTCGGAGTCATGCAAACGCTTGCGGTGACGAACGCGTTGCATTCGCGACGGTTGCGAACCGCCCAGTGCGCACGCGGCCTAAGCCTTACAGTATACACTATACTTAGAAGTGTCGCTAAAAGGGGATGTTAAATAACGGAATGTCGCAAAACAAAATTGGTGATTTTGACTCTGGCAAGGTGCAGTGAAGCGGCAACTATTGTTCGGTGGGAAAGCGACCTTGATTCGAAACGGTTCAAACAGCCGCAGTAACGATCCGGACGATAAGATGGCGGCCCCCGCTTACGAAATGGCGGGAGCGTAAAACAAGATGGCGGGTGCGATGACAGATACCTCCCGGGAACTTGCGAGCCTGTTCCAGTGTCCGAGCTGTGGTTGTAGCGGAATATATTTTTATATTTTTCTTTTTGGAATTTAGCTCGCGCTCAAGCGCTTCAATTTTGATCTGTGGTAAACTGACAGTGGCTAGCGGTAGACGTAGGCAGCCGATGCTAGCTTAGCGTTACACAGGTGCAGTTAATAGCTCTTACCATCCCCGCACGACGCACCTTACACATATCGGTAATAAATTTAATAATAAATCTTAATTATTAATACAATATCAAAAGATTACGGACTATGAATTAATAATTAATTATATATTAATATGAAAAAACAGTCTTCCAGGCTTTTTTCGATTCTATCAAAAATTTGTAAATTGTAAATTTTTTTTTTTTTCACCAACAATATAAAAACCAAGTATAAGGAATCGGAATAAAACAGTCAAAACGCAGCGTTGTTTCGCTACATAGACCTCAAGAGACGATCGCCAATTCGAGAAAAGTTTCTTTTACTATTTAATTCATAGAGTTCAGCCAATATTTGGTATCGATAACGCTAAGACTTACATTTTCCTAACGTACTTCTAAGGTAGAGGACCTGGACTACTTCCTTACATTCTACAAAATGTTACTTAGCCACAAAGATCTTAACAATAAGTTAATATGGATGCCTACATATTTAGCTACGAATTAGTCATGAAACGCTCCCTTGGCTTGTCTAAATTGTTAAATATCATGCATGCATTGTATGAGCTAGAGAAAGAAAGTGTTCCGAATGAACGATCCAATTGTGAAACGCACCTACGATGTCGCGTACCTTAATTAAATAGCTTAGAACACGTATGACGAAATGAGCGAAGCACGGGGGGGCCCTAGCGGCAGGGAATCTTCAAGCGAACGGCACGACGACGACACGCAAAAGAAATGACCAAGCGGACGGCTCGCGGCCGCCAACTGAATGGAAAGGGAAAGACAAATGGATTTGCACGCGTTAACACTATCATACAGAATCTACTAGATAGAGTCTGACTCCTATAATAAAGTGTACGGTAGGCGGCGCAGGACGCTTACTTCTCCTCCTTGTCCTCTGGCTCCTTCTCCTTCTCCTTCTCTTGCTCCTTCTCTTTTTCGTCGCCCTGCAACCGAGAGCGGGAATTAGCGGTCGCCACCTGAAATTCCTATTCAGGACACAAAAGGTCGTAAATAAGACCACGCTCCCGCCTATAGAGCGGCGCCATCTTGTTAACGCCCTGTCACGAAATGTGGGATGTTTTTTTTTTAATGTGAGAAGGTCACAAGCGTCGTGGCAGGTTCACCTGATGTTAATTGTTAATCGCCGCACATTTGGCACACCCGTAGGTCTGCATACCTTTTTATTAAAGTGGGCTTCAGCTATCTCACTTTAAGTTCACGCCGATCTTCTGTGAGGTCGCGGTACTTCGCGGACCTCTCCACTCGTGTAATTACCGAAACCGTTGCGTTTCCCTACCAGTTAAATGTATGCACGAAAGTGATCGTGTTAACTTGTTGATTTTTTTTTTTTGGTAAACTTGAACACAGAGCACTGCTAATGAAGAACAATCCGGTCCTCTTAGGATCGATGGTACACAAGAGGGAGGTTAGGCGACGCCATCTTGTTTGGTTTACGTCATAGGTTCACGGTAATTTTGATCTTAACGCCACGGTGTGGGACGGCCCACACTAGATGGAGTGACGACTTCTGCAAATGTGTGGGAACTCGACGGATGCAGGTGACTCAAGATCTTACTTCGTCACAGTCCATTTGTTTTGTTTAATTTTAAAAACATGGCCCATACTTTAGGATAACATTATTTCGTGTTGTAAGGACGTGTTACAAACATAAATTTCACGGCGGACAAACACGCAGATGGGAGACAACTATCCGTGGGTCACAGAAACAGTTGACCCGTGTTGGAATCGAGCCCCCACCCCTAAAGCCGAAGCTAATACCTTGACAAAAGCGCCGCGGAGTCTACAATGCAAATGTAAGGGGGAGGACTATGTTCAGGACTCAAACGGGCTGAGATCAATCAATTAATCAAATATAAAAATATTCAAATCGACGCTTGCGCGTTCTTATAATCGTCAAGTTTCACTATAAAAAATTATATCGGAAAGCAGTTTCTGTTGAGAGGAGACCGGCAAGAAACTCAACAAGAGTTGCTCTTCTTCAAAAATATCAGTTTAAAATATAACATACAGGTATAACAGTCTTATTCTAGGCTAGGTGAGTATCGACAGTATTAAGACCGGACGATGTTGCTTAGCGAAATGCGTACCTTGCCCTTTTCGGCCTCGTCCGGCAGCGGCTGCTTCTCGGTGTCCTTGGCGTCCTTGCTCTGCTCCTTCGGCTTGGGCAGGTGGGCGTTCAGGTCGAGGGTCCGGCAGATGTCCTCCCAGTCGTTGAAGGCGCGCTCCTTCACGCGCGTCACCAGCCCCACCAGGTTGGGGAACGACTCGTTGAGCGCGTCGCGCAGCGGGTGGCCCACCTCTTTGTCGATGAAGTGCAGCTGAGCGAGATTCGCGAACGCGACCACGTCCAGCTGTCGACGGGAACTGGGGTGAGTGACTCATCACCGGATCGCTAATGACGCGATTCTGCTCGCAAACTGGGCCGATCTTGGGATAGTAGTTTTTTTATTCGGAACTGGCCAGAGCTGACGATAGTTTTTTTTTTTTTTTTTTTTTTTTCGAAATTGTTCAGCGCTTGACTGCCATCTCTGCTGTAAAAACCTATTAGCTCATGAAGACGCCTACTTTGTAATAGGACAGAAAGGCGGACGCCGGCAGTTTGTTATAGCCCTTACAGATGATGAATGACGAAGCGAAATCGCTTCGTTTTTGTGGGTTTCGAGAGTGATCTTATTAAGATCCACCAAATCGACTAGCACTAGCTGTCTCTGTAGCGAATAAGACTAAGGTCAGGGCTAAAGAAAATCTTTCATAAAGGCCCGGTATATTATACAAACACGGGCACTCGTTAAAGATGAGTCGGAGCGGCAATGAGTCAAGTGCCCACTTCGCAGCCTTGCGTTAACTCTTGCGCAAAGCTCACAGAGAGATGCATCTACATTCTAAACGTATATATCCATCTGCGACATTCACGCTCACTTACACATTGATATAAGTGTCCATGCTAATGTTGAAAAATTTAATAAAACCCGACAAGTCTCTGAAAACATAAAATGGATCCCCGTCGAAATCGTACGAGGTGTAAAAGATTTTTTGTTTATAAACTGCCGCTGCTACTGTTCAGTAGTGCCAACCGGAGCGGCGTGGACTTGAGCAGAGCGGCACCTGGCCGAAGTGACAAACTCACCAGCGTCGGTTCATCGCCGAAGAAGAAGGGCTTGTCAGCGAGCAGGTCGGAGAGCACGCGGAGGTCGTTCTTGCCGAACTCTAGGATCTCCTCCTGGCTGTGGACGCCTATGCCGTGGGCTTTTGCCTTCTTCATGCCCTGCGACAAATGTTTATGAACTGTTAGCGGTTTCCTAAGTGTGTGCTCGGAGCGACCAGGGCAGTATGCGGGGCAATGGAATGACATGCCTAGAATTCATTCTTGATAAATATCATCGTACCCGTACATATTTGGACTAGAGCCGTGACGCCACAAACTCGTAAGTCCGCGTGTAAAGCTGTAATTCAGATCGTATCCAGAAAATATATAGAAGATCAATCGCATTCGCGAAAAATTTTAACAGATATAACTTTAATCATTTAAAACGAGTTACATACAAATTTACCAAATTGTTTGAAATATATAACTTTAATCTGAACATATTACTTTTTTATAAGGTGGAAGGAGGGGGTTGCTAGAGACCGCGTACACCATTTCATATTTGAGCAGACTGAAACGAGTACATTCAGAACAGGAAAAACGGCAAAATAGACGAGTGGGGAGGTTGTTGGCGAAGAAGGTGGTACACGCCCTGCCCCCCGGTTGCCATGCTTAACAATTCATTCGCGTTCGTTCGACCGCCCGGCGCCTGATTAATACCCTCTCAGATACTTCCTAGAAATGCTTGAAGCTATTCATGTCATCTGTAACGCTCTCGTTATCTAGGGCAACCGGTCCCCCGACGCCAAGGTACGCTCAATGTAAGATCTTCTAACGATACTCGAACAAAGGAGATTTCTGAAAACTCTGCCACGAGCAACGGCTTTGATTCGTCTTCGTCGCATTTTACTATGTAAATTCTTAAAGGTGTTACGTCGTTCCTCATCTATAAGAAACGGCTCTTTGTTAGCGTTCTTTATCGAAGTTTACATAAAATAGTGATACTGTTTTAAACCTTCTTAATTACGTTTTGATATTGTCTAGTGTTACGTAATTGAATTTAACACGGGAGCGTCTCAGTTACCCGTTGCCGCGATAATTTGCTCAACTTCAACCCTACACAACGAAGTGGAACTAACGGTAACTAAGTTACATCAAGTAACTCAAGTCCCGATCGAAACGTGATTAAAATCGACGCTCTGTCGTGTTCAAAGCTTCATAGTCAACTAACGCTTTTTGTTCTATCATAAAGAACGTTTCGAATAATGGATTAGGAATAATTACGAGAATGCATCAAAGGAAACTCGTAACAAATTATCCATGTTCAGAAATACGAATCAACAGCCCTGTAAGACCAATCTCCATCAGTTATGCATATCGATCTCTCCCTCAATCAAAATATATACGCCTCACTACCTAGATTTCGATACCGATGTCTAGACGCGCATCACACGCGCCCCATGTCCGACGTCCACCCGCAACATTGATATACCTATACCGACATGTAAGTGTACAGGGCAAAATGGCGTCTGTATTATATGCCCCATGTATCAGCGGAAAAACAGTATGAGAAACATTATTAGTTTGAAATGAAGAATAAATTCTTAAGAACGGTCGAAACCTTTTTTCGAGATCCACACCATTCCCTCTTATCCAAATCAAAAAACAAAAATAAAATAATAGTTTGGTGTATGTGCTGTCGTGGCAACGCGTCTATTAATATTTTTTATTCCTTAATGAGGCAATGGTGGATATTGTTTCGTGAAAGAAAATATCTGAAGCACAATCAGTTCCGTTGTGCTCGTGGGGTCAAGCACCCGACAGACTAAAAATAGAGAATCGATAAGACATAGAAGAGCGGAACGGGGCTCGGGCAGAATGCGTCGCCCACACGAGGCATGCTATCGGCACAGATTAACATAACAGTGGTAAACAATAATAGTCAGTCAACAAGTCGGCTTGCATGTAAAAAATGGCTCGACGGAACACGGGCGATTCTCAACCTTAGGGAATCTGCAAATAAGTGATAAAATCAAACCTACAAAAATCTGACCGAAAACTTAGCGTAAGGAGAATAAGGACACCATTTTACATTCCAGACCGATGATCGAAACGAGATAACCTACGCTTTGGCTAGTCGCACACAAAGGGCATTCATACCGGATTGAATTTAATTAACAAAAAAAAAATACAGAGCTTCCAAATAAAAAAAGGACAACGAAAAAACACTAGTGATGTATGTACCCACCTTGCGACCGCTGGTAAGCTTGTAGCAGAAGTTGAGTATCGGGTTCGGCAGGCGAGTGTTGAGGGCGTTCTGCAGATTGACCTGGTAGCCCTTCAGCACGCTGTCCGGATACTTGGCGCGCCACCACATGATCACCCACGAGAGGTGGTTCTCGATCATGGAGACCATGGCGTGAGTGACCACCCGCTGCTCCGACGTCAGGGCTAATAAAAGTGCGGCCGTAGAGTGATGCGGCCCGAACTCAGTGCACATGCGCGGCGTCCAGGTAACCTAGGCTCCAGGTCGCCCGGGCATTCGGCGCCCCGGCCACGGCTCCGCGCGTATCGATTCGTATGCGTGGTGCATTTGTCTGTTGCCATGGCAACGGACTATCGTCCATTCGATTGTCCGAGTGTGCGCAGCCGAGCCGAATGTTCGATTACGTATTCCATTTGATTGCAATTAAGTGCCCGCCATTTATCTTTCAAAATTAACAATTAGCTTAGAACTTACAGTTTGTTTCACTCTAACGATTCAAATTGTATCAAACGTTTGATAAATATACGTATATTTTTTTACGTTTCATAATCACACATTCATATTCGCTTTGGTTTTTTTTAAACATCGCCCTTAGTTTAGGATAACATTGTCCTGTGTTGTAAGGACGTTTTACAAACAAATTTCACACGGACAAACACCCAGATGCAAAACAACTATCTGTGCGTCACACAAATAGTTTTCCCGTGTGGGAATCGAACCCACGACCCCCGACGCCGAAGCCAATACCTTGTATATATATATATGACTATCATGTATATATATGACTTTCCTTCTTGCACACGTTTTCTCTTTTTTAGCTGGGCACGATCACGGTATATCGCACAGTGGCTACAACACCACTATCATTTTGGTCATACTTCACGGGGTTGTCGAAAAAATGTCGATATATCGATACAAAATATTCAATATCAAAAATAGTAACAATAACAACATTTTTTCAAATTGGAATGTGGCACAGTGCGTAGGTGTCAAATATTAAATACTTGACATACTTTTTTTTGGACAATGGAAGGGACAAGGGAAGTTTCTAGGACCTATATCAGATATATCGATATTTTCTCTTAGATATATCGAGGACGATATTGAAATTATTCATAAATATCGATACATAGATATATTTCTTCACTTTCGACAACCCTAACACTTCATTGTTATAAGAACAACAAAGAGAATTTTAACATCGAAAGTTTTACATACCGGCATCGAGATCCTTATTGTATTTCTCGGAGAGCTCCTTGATGATGAAGGCGCTGTCAGCGATCTCTTCGCCGTTGAGCTCGACGAATGGCAGCTGGCCCTTCTTGGAGCGGAACTTGGCCTTATGGTCCACGTTCTGGAAAGAGTAAGCGCGGCTCAGCAAAAATATATTTAGTTACTTCAATATATATCAATTAAAATTAAGTGACTAGAACTAAAAAGTCCGCACAACAAAGCACTGCTTTGTAGACTAAGTTATAATAGACAATTTAGATTTACAATTTAGAAATATCTTAATAATAAAATCATAACGCAATACAAATACAACTACAAATGTAACCTCGCGCATTTCAAATCGCCGCAGGTCTATGAAAATATTATTTTAAGCTTCTTTCTATTGCAACGCATTATGGATTGCAATATCTACTTAAAAAATTTAAATGAATTTAAGACCCCATCGCATATCTCCATATGATCACCATCAGATATTACACAGACACTGAGCCACTTGAATTACGGTAATTGGTGAAATTAGATTGCAACTCTATATACTGCTATCTATTTCTGCACCATACGTTGCATATCATCATTCACGTTCACTTATATTTCGTTTTTTGTTATATAATATAATGTAAAACGGAACAATTTTTAAACACCGCGCATTGTGGACATGCGTCAACTTGATAACGTCATTGATCTGAACAACATAAATATAAAATAAATAATCAATATATTAACTGCTATATTGAATAGTGTAATAACGCAGCGCTCTAGGCGCAAGTCCATTTACCGAGGCGATTTGCGGCTATATCAAATGGGATACTTTTGCGGACAATGATTAATGTCGAATCGATAACTCGCGTACGATTTATATTTAGATCTTTACTCGATTTCCACTTCGGTTATTACAAGAAGGAAAAATGGGCTCATTTATTGACTTTTATCATTTGTATGAACACATCAGGGCTTTGTCGAGGCAAAAAATATAATTACTAACAACGTCTTCAGACTTGCCAACGGTAACATTCACGGCCCACGTGGCAACAGGTGGTTACGACAATTGAATGATAAAGGCGTCGGGCGCGCTAGGGCGTTGCGCCGAGGGCGATGTCCGGGACGTTGGTCTGGGGGTGGTTTAGGGGTGGTGGGGTAAAGTGCACCCCCTCGGCCAGCGGGGGCGTCGTCCCCGCCGTTGCATAGAGCTCGGCTCGATAGCATTGTTCCGCGCTTCGAATGCAAGAGCGGCCTGGACGCAACTGCGACTGCGACACGCCGTCGAAATGCGACACGCCGTCGAATCAAAATCAAAATCAAATGTATTTATTCAACATAGGAGCATTACACTCACTTATTGATAGTCAAAACACTACCACCGGTTCGGAAAAGAAAGCCACTGCACTGAGAAGAACCGGTCGAAATGCGACATGCGACACGCCGTGCGCTTTAGACACCCGAGTCCGATAGCGTTACAATGTCCACGCCAATGGACTTCGCATGGTAATCGAGGCGGAAGATTTGAGAATATTTCACGGAGTTAAGCTACTACTATTTCGATCGCGCGCACGTAGTTTCGTGTTGATTTGTTTTTGGTAATTAAATCGCTCGGAGGCAGAACACCCCGGCATGTCGCATAATTTTCCCACTAACTTAGACCATACATGAGTATAGCTTAAATAGCGATATGAAGTATTTTATTTGATTGAATACTTCCTAAACAGATTCTAAAACAATTTTCATCGATGCTTCAAATGTTCTGTTTAGCTCGGTAACAATTAAAAGCAAATACAAACATACGATATTTCCTTTCAACATCACGACCTTTCAGTAAAATGACTAATAGTAAGGAAAGAGATGTCGATTATTAACGAACTTTGTCGAATATTACCGTTTTCAAATAATACGTAAATGATATGTAACTGAAACTCGTCTATAAGTACTAAAAAGGTCCAGGGGCGCGGGCGGGCGGGGTGGTTTATCCCGGCTGGTTGCCATGGCGACGGTGCTCCAGACGACCGGCAGGGAGCGGAGCTGTATTGATTTCGACAGGCGAGGTTCAGCGGCCGACCATACCTCCACCCCCCGCCTCACTTCCACCCCATCCCTCTGACACCCCATCCCGCCCGCCGACGCCCCGGCAACAGCGCGCACCCACCGCCATCCCGTTACCAGGCACACGTTTGCCGGCAGCACACGCTATATATGTACATTACGTACACCGCTTTATGTACGCGTCTCTTGTTCTCATCACACTAATTACAGTTCGATTAAGTGAATCCCATTCAGGTACACGTCTGTTAGATTGAGTTACATGTCAGCGGACACAGCGTTATTGCGTGATAATTACACGAGCGGCTGTGCGCCGATGGAACAACAAAGGGCCACAGGCTTCGTTAGTCGACGGAGATTCGAGAATATTCTAAATATAGCCGGACCCCGAAAGTGCCGAGGCAGGGGTTGCTCTGCGAACGTGAGCGTACTAAAATGTGGCATGATCAATGAAATATTAGACAGCTGTGATGACATTTTTTATGATTGTGTCAAATGATGTTTTTATTGATATCTCGAATTAGGGTTCGACGCAGGAAGACCGGGGGATGGAATACATAAAAGTGAATAATGCATGTTCATTTTCAATTTAGATAAAAGAACCCTCATACTCTATGAACGTGTTACTAGAATTTATTGGTTAAATATATTATTATGATATAATTAAATTGTTAATATCATATGTATATATTTAACATGTTGCATTTTACTTTCACCAATACCTTTCAAAGTAAAAGTAAAATACAAAGCATTTTCTAAAAATATTCTAAGAAGTTAAATCTAAATCCATTATTCACGATGTGAATAATCTAGAAATTACAGCTCGAGTCCAAAGTCCTATGAGGCTAACGAGTATTATTTATGTAAAGATTTCCAAATAAAATAAAGAGAAAATTGAGTTATGTCATTTATTATAAACATCGCATTAGCAAACGAATCCTTAATGTATTGTTGACAGAGGCGTGAGAAATGATTTCGCCGAGGCCGGTGTAATGTTTATTGGGTAGTATAACTTGAAACAAAGGCAATAAATCGCGGGAGCGCTCACTATCGTCCATCCTTCTCGTGTCTATGCCCTCTACTCGTTCCTATCTCCTTCATAAATATAACCCGGCCTGTTCAATAATAAATAATTTGCATCAACGAACAAAACTTAAAATGCAACAAATGCAATTCATAAACAATAATTAAATTATGACCACTAAATGTCGTTTTACAAAAAAATTATATATCGGAGTTATCAATCAATTAATTATATATCGGAAATTAGAGATCGGTGTATAAATAGTCTATAAATAGAAATGTTGCGGCGGAGTAACTTTGCATCCAGCCGATAATGATAACAATGGGTAAAAATAATGCATCATAGCAGTGACTCGACTTGTAGTAGTATACTTAATAAACATAGCATCATGTCTTGATCTGAGTACAAACAACTAAACCACAAAATAGCGCCCTAAAATATGTCAGTGAATTGTCTTCTGAAACATAAGTTGCAATAAAATTTAATAGTGTAGAACTAAGAAAGAAGTATTATATAAAACAATTTCCAGTACTCGTAAAAGACACAAAGAGGGCCTGAAAGTAGAGTCCAGTGTAAACTAGTGTTATTAATAGTCTACATTATATATCGCAGACGTGAGAGGGCGTCGAGGACTTCTACGAATTCCCAAGGGTGAAAGGAGAGGAGAAAATCGCTAGCAATTTTCCGTAGAAATATTTCTAATTGATTTAAGAGGCTTTTCTCCAAATAGAAACTTATTTTATAAATAAAACGTCTAGACGTTAGAGCGCCTTTGAATTGTGAAAGGTTCTTTGTATTCAATGTCTTTGAGGATTAATAACGTTGTAAAACATCTTATTCAATAAAATACTCGTAGGTTTTTCGCTGATATTAGTTTCGAGTGCTTTTATAAAATGTTATTCTTATATTTTTATAAGCACAAAAGTATATATTAATTTATTTATTTGATGCATATATTATGAGACGCATTTACGTATTCGTAAATAAGTAAACGCGTCATTGCATTAAGGCCCTTAATTAGTTTCTTGATATGGATGTTCGTAATATGTGTTATCCAGTTGCTGATCAGATTATTTGGGTTTCTCCCTTTACCGATCCACGGACATATATAAATCAACAAGAGACAGCAAGTCCAAATGCATTGACTTCCGACAATGCTATTGACGTCGGCCCTCCATACCCACCGCCCAGACGTGCGTAACAATATACGCTTGTTTACAAAGCAACTGTGGGACGAACGGCACCCGAACTCTGTTCACTGGAAACGACAGATGTCGGTTATGCGAAACAATGGATTGTTCTGTAAGCCAACCAATGTCATAGCTTGATTGGGTTGCGGCAAAAGTCAACGCAACTTATTGTGTCAAAGATAAAAAAAATCTGTTCCTGCGGATAAATTTTCAATTACAATTTACATCCCTTCTTGTCCTCCTTCCTTCGACATTTGTTCTATGCATACAAGTACAAATAATCTATAAGAGACGGATCCGGCGAAACGGCAATCGGAGCGAGAAAACGAAAGAAGCATCGTAATACGTCATACACCACGGTCAACCTCCTCATCGAAAGTGAAACCATAACAAAAACAGTAAGTTCACCGACCGCTGGACGCTAATAAACGCGCATGTAAATCACGCGAGCACAGAGCATGTACCGTTTAGAGTCGACGATCGCGACGCCGACTACAACTTATGTGCACGAGGGGGCGCGCAAATCAAAAGTGACACGTTACGCTCAAACACTCAATGGAAGCCGCCTCGATCGCTACCACTAAACCACTTGACCCACACGATTTCCTCGCGAGCCCATAAAGGCCCCCGTCTTGGAACGGCGTAAATGCAATCCAGTCCTATTATGTGATGGACAATATCCGACTCCTACATCGATCAAGCAGCGTTCGCGTTATTACTCTGTTCCAGTTTTCTATATTGGTATCAAGTAGGCTGCGCGAGAACCGGCGACAGTGTGAAGCCCCTCGCGACACGTATTAAGCGGAGCAGCGCTTTGCAATTCTACGATGCAATTGTCCGGCGACATTACCTACAGCGGGGTAGCGCTTTGCAATT